TGGCAGATCGCTGACTTGGTTGAAGCATGTCATCGATCCCAATTGCGTGGATCGATGCTCATGACATCGATCACTGGCTTGTGTGGTCAAACTCGATTATTTACAGACCGCCGTCATATAGACTTGAATATTGCTGAGTGTGGCGTAAAACAACAAACCAACAACAACACCAAAAAGCTTTGGCAGCAATGATAGTATGAACACGAGGTATATTGATTACTACATAGCGAATACCAATCATAATAATAAATGTGTGTTTCTAAAAGCCTTTAAATAATACATGATTTTGTAGTAGGGCTCAAGTACCCGGGTCGGGTGGGTCCTGAGTAGGACCCGGGTACCCACATGAAATATTGTTTAATGACAATAAATTATCTAGAACTCTATGGCTACACTACAAGTCACTAATGTTCGCATTTCTTTCTGACTATGCACCCATTCCTTCTGACTTTTCATATAGTTGAATAAAGATATGCATGTCAGATCGTTTAATACATGTATCTAAATACGTTGTACAAGTGCTGTGTTAAAAAAAATTCCCAATTGGACATTTTGTATCTCTTGAGACCTACAGTAGGTACCCAGGAGGGTCGGGTAATAGGGGGTTGGGTACCCGGGTAGTAAATTTGAACTCGTGTTGTTTGAGTATACATGATCATAAAAAAACATAACATTGCATCATTAATGCTTTCCGACTAGCAATAAATCATAATATGGGTCACTTCTACTGAAGATTTTTAAAGTTCCAGAGCCCAAACAGTCCAGGGACTGCCAATTTTATGTTCAAAGACAAATTAGTGAGTTTGATCTTACTCAGCTTCAAACACTATCACAGGACACCAGAAATGGGCTTCACACATTGTACCCATGTGGGGAATCAAACCAGACTTTTGACCTGATAAGTGAACACTTTAACCACTAAGCTAACTAATCCTAAGGGTGCCCCTGAGTTTGTTATATCAAGGTTCTACTTTAAATCATTTAACACAAATATAGATTATTCTTAACACATGTTCAACAGCCCTGCCATACATTATATATGGAGCATTCTCAATACATTTATTCAATGTGATTTGAACAATACTTTGAAAACACTCCATAAATTAAACAACAATTCAAACAGTGTGATAATAATCAAAGAGAAAGACTGTCATCTGAATATTGGTATACTGCAAAATATATGTCATACTTGTAAAGATCCTGGTTAAAATAGGTCTTCAGCAACCCACATGTCATAAGAGGCGGCTAACAGGATTGGGTGGTCAGGCTCGTGAACTTGGTTGAAGCATGTCATTGTATCCAAATTGCTAGATTGATGCTCATGATGTCAGTCACTGGATTGTCTGGTCCAGACTTAATTATTTACAACCCGCCGTCATATAGCTGGAATATTGCTGAGTGCGGCATAAAACAATAAACAATCAAATAATATGGTGAATACAATATGGGGGAGTTGTTATTGTTGAAAGAGTCAGTTAATGAGAAGGACATACTCACTGACAGTGTTATAAAAACCTGATATTCTGAGTCACTTATGATGGAAATGGTTTAAGCTGAGTGTGGCGTTAAACAACAAATAGACAAACAAACAAACAAAGCTCATATGTCGTATCACACCTAGTTTCACATCCCTGAAGAGCATTGTGTACTGTCCCTACTGTTCTACCTTCATTGTTCCTACTGGCTGTACCCACTGACAGACTTTACAACCTCCTTCCATGCACAGGACGCACTTTCAGCATGTCTTGCTCAGGCATGGGGTGTTCAACAAACAAAATCACTGGTAACATTTTTCCTTGTTTAACTACGGAATACTGAGGGTTGTTATCTGTCAACCAGAACACTGTTTTGGTTGGCTGTCATATCATGTAATATTGTTGTGTACTGTCTGGGTGACAGTCACAGTGGAGAATAAAAGATTTATATCACCTGTATAGCCAGTGTCTCCTTTTCAATGCATCTGTATTTAGCCAGTAGAGGATGGTGGATAATGCATTTATTTTAATCCCTATGTGGGATTTTTAATTCATTTTAGAGATTGAACCAGGAACTGATACCAAGAGGGGGTAAACACCAAGTGTCAATATTTAACTTATTTGCATATATCATTTCGGACGGAACTGTTTATTTTGTTTGTTTGATATGTGATGCAATTTATTACTTGCCCTTGAAGAGATCACCCATTCAATAAACATACAGCTGTATTACACATTGTGTAATACCAAAACGTGTGTTGTGTACTCTCGGAACACGTTTCACGAACAAATATTGAAAGCTCGCAACATCCCTTGGCTTATTCAACGACATTGCGTGTGGAGATGATAGATCACTGAGAGGAGCTTAAGCACACTCAATGACCCCAGCATTGAGCAACCTTGTTGCTAGGCTGACGTCACATGGCATTGTTTCAACGATGGATCTCGTAACAAAATTCCACAAATTACATCATTGGATGTTGTGACATGATTGTAAGCTTTGAGGTGCAAGGCCCAGTTCCACAAGGCGATCGTATTGTAGCGCATCGACAGTTGTTAATCTAAGTTAAAGTATGTGAGTTGCGATAACCTTAGCGCTACGATGACTTTGTGGAACGGACGCCTGAATTCTAAAGGTGGACCGTTGTATGATTTTAAATTCATACGTTTCAACTTTTGATGTGTTTGAAGTATTATTCTGTTAAACTCAGTTGGATTATGCCGTGGATCGTGTAGGTGTCAGCCTATTCAAACTCAACAGCATAATTCTAAAAACGTTATCAATGACAAGTAATAAATAAAATACTTAACTCGCTCCCTTGTAAAACCAATTTTATGACCTGCATCGCTTTGGGGTTTCCTCCCACACGAAGCTGACATGCTGTAATGTAACTGGAATACTGTTCAAAGTGGCATTAAACCCAACTCACTCACTCACTTACAATAAGCATAAAGTTACCAGCAAATTATTTATCATAACCACATGGGTAAAGTTGTTTTTGTTATGGGGGATAAATCATTGACAGGTGTACCATACATTAAATTTACCATCATGTAAGATAAAAAGATCAATAGGTGAGTTGATAAGATTAGCGCTAGGTGTCAGTAGGTGTCAACATATTTTTCATCTGCTACTAGATAGGTTAAGTGTCCTAACAAGCATGGTCACCATATAAGTGCAATAACAAGCATCCTCTTAGACAGGATCTCAATAAGCCCCTTCTTAACCTCTGACTTGTATTGGTTAAATGCCAAAAGTGCTAATTGCATCAATTAGGGTAATGGATGACTGATCAGTTGTAACAGCAGATTACAACTGTGGACTGATCATGTAAGTCCAAAACTAGCAGAAACTTTTCCCCAAACGAACATTTTATAAGCTCATCACCAAATATGAAGCAAAAAAAAAAAAAAATACACATCGTTGGTCATGTCTTGAAATCCATGACACAGACAATACCACAAGCAGAGAGTGAATAGAAGCAGATGTGTTGAAACAGGTGACAATCTTGTCCTTAGCTAAAGCCTAAAAACTAAGAAACACCTGAATACCTATATTTTCATGAATGAAATTGTTATATACTTCGCCCCAGCATGCAATTATTATACCAGATTAATGTATTATAAGCCAGTGGTCTGCTACTGAATAAACAGTCTGTCTGAAAACACCAATGTTTACAAACTAAATGTAGAGACTGCTTGTCACCAACCAGTCATCACCATTTTTTACATGTTATTTCTGAAATATTCCATGTACAAAGTTAACTGTGCCAACTTTGATTTGTGTAAAAACATGAGCAGATGCTTGAATTTCTGTCCGTGTAGAAAGTTTCAGTTGATTTCTGTTATAATGCGACGATTGGGAATCAAAACAGTGGGAATAGAAACTTCCCATCGACCAGCCGTACCAGTGATCAGCATTGTCTAAACAGCACGTGTCCTGGATCGTGCACACCACTTCAGTTATACAAATTACTTTTTCTATTTTCTGTGGTGTTGCACTCAATTATTATATTCACTACAATTAATAAGAAATGCTTTTATCAATCTTTGATGTAAACCAATATTCCCCAAATTCGATTTACACATGTTTATCCTCAACACTATGAACGATGGATTTCGCAATATATACAGGGTTAAGCATTTTGGAAAAATAGCTCAAATAGGTTTTAGAATTGTATTTTTGGGAAGAAATGATTTTATTACATGTGACACAGCCTACGTGTCATTTCTAAAGTTGTATTTGAGCAAGGTGATCATATGGTGTTTTTTAATATTTCCTCACAAGAGTCTGTTTTGGTAATAATTTTTTTGATAAATACTTCTCTCTTCTAATGAAACTGAGACAAAGTAAAACAAGAAGCGATCATGTGCACACTATATTAAGGAGTTGGCGATAATTGGTCTTCGGTGATAACTGGTCGTGAGCATGTAATCATTTATAACAAGGGTGGGAGGGCTATATTGATCAGTGGAGAGTTGTGAATATACACAATCGTGAAGAAAATAGTGACAAAAAATTAGTAATTGTATTGTAAAAAGGTAATTGTAAACTGAAACTGTTTTGCTATTAATCAAGATAAAAAACTACGAAAGCAATTTGGCCTCATGGTGCTTGTCATGAAAAAAAAAAAAAACGTTTTTGAAGGGTTGCTAAATATGGCATACAATTGAGAGGATCGTTTCATATATGTATATTCTTATACTTCATGGTTTGTGTAACACCATAAAATGTATATGGCTTCTGTAAATATGTTGAACATTGTTATGTATAATATACAGTTTATAAAAAAAAATTCCAAGCAAACAGAATTTTAGGTGTATATGGGACTTTGCTGAAAGAACAAATATATTACAAAAAATTCAAAGACATGTGGCATTATTTTTATCTAATACTTAAAAGATTTGTTCAGGGAAAATCTTTTGTTATTTGCAACAGTTTAATAGACAGGGGTTATTTTTCTTGTCTGAATTGAAAATTATGTTTTTGGAACTTTATCAACATGAAAACAAAAAAATACTCACAGCGTCCGGTTCATGTGCCATAAAGACATGGCACTCGAAGTCATCACTATTCAGCTGTTGACGAGAGAGATAGGCAAAACATCTTGGCTCCTGGTGCAGTTTAGCAAATCTGGTCAACTCCTGCAGTTTGTGTTCAAACAATGCATCAGTTCCCATGTCGTCACAACTTGTTGCTTTGAGACAGTGGGGCAACACCTCGAGTGTCACCTCTCTCGCCCCCTCCTTTCGCCGTCGAATCTCGGCCATAACCCATGGCTGGACGCTCTGGGTATGGCGCCTGTCCATGCAAGATGACCCAAGATACGCCACCTTGAAACATTTGCTGGATGCATCTCCCGATTCTGCCATACCGGCCGCTTGCTTCACCTCGGGGTCGGCTTTCACTGATTCCATACCGCTCAGCCTTGAACAGCTGATCAACGAAACACGCACCTGCTTAAAATCAGAAGTCAAATCGTAAACAAACCAGCAGACAGGCTGCAACCTCAATGTCGTCAACACTTCTCTCTCACATCTTTCCAATAAACTTCAGAATAGCATGAAACGGTTGTCACAGCATGAAACCTGCGGCCTTCTCGAGTAGATGAATTCTGATATTCCGTGGTTATTTTCGTCTGCACAAACTTCCACGCTTTTGTTTAGCCGCCATAGTGGGCATGACGTCATCAACGTCACAATAACACAATATTGATTTCTGGACGCATATATTCAGCTAAGTACCATAAGACATTTCGTCACTGGAGAAACAGATTTATATCCCACATAAACATTGATTGCAATTTTGCCAGAATTGTTTACAAAAGGTAGGTCAATGTATTACATTTTCGGCACGACTACTTAAAAACGTCACGTTGGTGTTCTGTTGGGAGAATTATCTTGCATGTTTTAGCTTTTAAAAATCCCATACTAAACAAATTTTACATAATATGGAACCAAAAGAATCCACACACTGGTAACGATCACTAGAAATACCATTATGAGTGCATAAAATTCAGGATTATTCAGATTTCTATTTGAATAACTACATATCGCATGCATGCTCCCTCTAACAGATTTATTAACCAAGCAGGTAAAAACACTGTTACACAAATGACAGTGGTAAACGTCTTGTACAACACATTTCGCGAGGCAAAGATACCATTGTAATATTTCTGAAGATTGATACAATGCATTACTTGATAGTGTTGAGTAAGAAAGAAAGAATGCTTTTTCAGTCCAGCTTGTGCTCTTTTCAAGGACAGCGGGGCTTTGATTGGCTCGGTACATTATCTGTTTAGATACGTTATCACACATCAGTTCTGTTAGCAGATGACTATCCTATTATACTTTATTACCTAACGGTGACAGGTGTTTAGAAATAATGGGATTAGTACAGGTGTTTATTGGTGTAACAACGCCGTTAATTTAATAGTTGATTGCCGCGTCTCAGTAGCACAGACTTGGGGCATTTTGAACATGATGTGTTTGACAAATGACTAATAATAATAAAAATAATAATAATAATAATAATAATGTTTGTTGCTTAACGTCACACTTAGCAATATGTTCCAGCTTTATCATACGGAGGTCTGTAAATAATCATGTCTGGTGCAGACAAACAGGTGATTGATATTATGAGGACCGTCTATTATTATTTCACAATAATAACGATAACAATTATTATTAATAATATTAATATATAAAAGCAGACAGACAGACACCCCCACTGACTGTGGTTGCGACAGATATTTGAATAGATAAATACATGTGATATTCAGCCTGACATAAAAGTTTAACACGCAATGGTATTTGTATTTAGATTAGTAGACTGTTATATGAACTTAACCACTTCAAAATTCTATATTTCATTGTAAAACTGAAGCTTCAAAGGTCTCCAAAATAATTCATTTACGCATATTTTGTCTGTGTTTTTTTTCAACATAGATTTAAAAAAATCTATACCTGGAACATTTGTTTTAGATGCGAAATACTTCCTTTTTCCGGAAAAAAGTTACGGATAGGAAACAGTTTCGTTGAAAATAGAACATGTTTTTTGACATTACAACCCGGAAGTGAACCATCCATGTGCGCACGTGGTTTTCATAATCAAGCGTCAAAATGGCTGAACAGAGATGGGTACCCCTGGAGTCTAACCCCGATGTATGTAATGACAGCCTCTTTATTGGTTTAAAACTCGCATTAGGCTTGAGAATTATTCCTAGCAACTAGTTTATGTCTGTTTTTGTCTTTCACAGGTGCTGAACAAGGTGAGAAATCGCGGTCGGAGTGTCAACTGAAATGTCAACACGACAGTGGAGAGCCGGCTCAGTCCGAGGCTGATGATGCAGAACGTTCGGCATCGTGTTTATCATAACTAATGCATGTCTGCAACTGGGCGATCTATAAACATAAGTCAAAGAAAATGTGTGCCCACACAATGTTTAGAAAAACCCCATAACATTCAAAGGCTGTGTGATATCCGTGATCGCCGACGTGGGTTGCTAGTGGGGATGTTTTGAAGTAGGCTTATAATTTTTTAGAATATTGCTGAGGCAGCATTATGTTCAGCCAATTTATCATTATTTCTAACTGACAAAAGTTCTACAATATTTGGAGATCTATTTATATTTAATATCTTATTTTGATCTGACTTAATTTGAGTTTTATTAAGACTTATATTAGCTACAAATAAGAATCACACGAAATCTGCTCATGTTTTTGTGTCTAATTTTCCGTCTAGGCTCTAGTCTTTGTAATCAGTGCAGTGTGTGGAATGGTTCTGCCCCATTTGTCAGACCCCAGTTATCGGACAGATCAAGAAAGAAGGGCTGGTCTATCGATATTGTTGCAATGGATCAGCACAGATTGGATTATATCTCATTGATATAATTAATTGTTCCTGTGCACTGAGTGTAAGCTTAAAGTGCTAGTTTGATATACATCAATTAAGTTAGTTCGCAAATGGCCTGCTCCCAAGAAAGTGCTTGATGTTACTAACAACCAAACTCATACTTTCTTGGAATGCCAGTTAACTTGGGCTCTTTTCCCTTCTTAGATTAAATTCAAACATAATTGTATGCTTTTGTATCCTTGAAGAGTAAGTTTATGTTTAAAGCCTACACATATATTAAGGGTATTCAGTATTGTTAAAGAATACAGGTACGCAAGCTGTGAAGGCTACAAAGGGTGATTGTGCCCTTTGTTGTTTTACTATTGTGTTTGCATCTCAAAAGCAACTCAAAATGATTCGGATAATTGTGATTTATATTGCAGTTTATCTGCAGCTTTGCAACAATGCTCACTTACTCACCAAAACGCCCACCCACTCACTCACTCACCAAACCACCCACACACTAACTCACCTACTCAAACTCATTCACTCACCCAAACTCACTCACTCACCCAAACTCACTCACTCACCAAAACTCACTCACCAAAACACTCACTCACCCAAACTCACTCACCCAAACTCTCTCACTCACTCACTCACTCACTCACTCACTCACTCACTCACTCACAAAAACACCCACCAACCCACTCTCTCTTGCTATTGATTATTGGTTATGCTGGCCAGTGGTCAGAAGCACGAGTGAGTGAATGTTGTCAACACTGATGACCAACTTTGTCAGGCAAAGATACATGGGGACACCTATTTGAATAGGTTCCAACACCCTATTGCTGGTTGAAGGGGATGACTAGATTGAGTCAGGTCTTAAGGCTGTGTGATTTGGTTGGTTGCAGGTCAGTGTGGAATGGCTGTTAAACAGTTGCTCAATCACTTCATTTATCAGGGTGGTGGGGAAGTCTTGTAGTTATGGTGTTTGCTCATCACGCTAAAGGCCTGGGTTTGATTCCCAACATGACTACAATGTATGATGTCTATGTTTGGTGTCCCTCGTAATGATAATGCTGACATATTGCTTAAAATGGTGTAAGACTCACTCCCTCACCCAAACCCACTCACTCACTCCATTTATCTGGCTATGATATCTTTAGGGATAATTCTAGGGTGGGGCCTTGTGCTTATAGCCCCTAATTTTGAAAAAGGCCCACATTTTCAAACACAATGGGGCATTTTAATACTGTGCTGTTTGGGCGTACCTCTGGAATATTTGAAATTTTCACATAAAGGGCCCATGTCAGAAAATTTCTAGAGTGAACCCTGTATCTTGACTACCATTTACCATGATACAGGTGTATATATAACCATGATACAGCTGTATATATAACACTCCCATGCTTACTCCAAACATCCCACATGGCCTCTTCTGTCTTCCAGTATATCCATGACCTCGGAGCCCCAAGCAAGTGGCAGTTTGTGGATGTGTTTGGTTTGGACGATGACCTCCTCGCCATGGTACCCCAGCCAGTGGTGGCCATTATGCTGTTGTATCCACTCACAGAGAAGGTAAGGCATGACAGGAAAATAACAAATACTTCTTGATATTTTATGCAATTGCCATGCAGTCTTATCTTCATCTTCCAGTGGCGAGAGTGTCCACTAGCCTATATCAAAGCCTAGTTTCTACCCTTGCCTTTTCAAGCTTAGGGGGCCTGGGTGTCCCAGTCGTCTAAGGCGCTGCGATTCGCTGTGCAGAGTTGCACGCCAGAAACCTATGATTGTGGGTTCGAATCTCGGTTCGCCCCGATTATGTTTCTAGATTTGTCAGCACCATACCCGTGCTCGTGGGTTTCACCGAAGTGGTAAACGTCTTAGACCTGCATCACTTTGGGCTTTCCTCCCACATTAAGATGACACGCCGCGATATAACTGGAATACTGTTAAAAGCGGCGTTAAACCCAACTCACTCACTCTCTCACTCACCATTTCAAGCTTACGTTACTTGGATTGATCATGTCACCATCCCATGTACAAGTTGTGTCCTCTGTGATGAAAACCCGATAACCAATCAGATCACTGTTCTCATTTCTAATGTCTTCGCAAAGATGACTAACATAGTTGATCAGATAACAAAAAAATTGCGATTTCATCCTTGACAGATAAATGGCAGATCTTATCAGAGTAAAGAATCTTATTATTACCACATTTCTCTTTTGCAATAACAGAGGCATCCCGACCAGGGAGTCTACACAGTGTCAAGTAACACTGCACATCGCATGACCTGCTCAGTTGACATTTTCACTTGTGGCTGCGCTACTCGAGGAAATATCAACTTTGCAGATCACTCGATGAGATAGATCTATAAAGATTGGGGTTAGAATAGGTCTTCAGCAACCCATGCTTGCTGTAAAAGGCGACTGCTTGTCGTAAGAGGAGATTAACAGGATCGGGTGGTCAGACTCACTGACTTGGTTGATGCATGTCATTGTATCCCAATTGCGATAATCGATGCACTTGATGTCAATCATTGGATCGTCTGGTCCAGACCTGATTATTTACAGATTGCTGTCATACAGCTGGAATATTACAGAGTGTGGTGTTAAACAACAGACAAACTCGATATAAACATGTTATTTGACAAGAAAAGACAGTTATCCTGTAGTGGTCTAGTCCTGACTCAGCTATTTGCAGTCCCCTGTGACACAACTGGAATACTGCTCACTGTGGTGTTATGCAGTATTCAGTCCCCCATAACAGATTGATAGGATATTTATAATTAATTAACTCGAGCAGAACCTTCCAGGGAAACTAAGAGACCTGTCAAAATTGAAACTTTTATCTTAAAAAAAGACCTTGAACAAGTTAAGTTTTCATGCTATATGAACAGCTCTTTGGAAATAAGATTCAGGATGCTACATCAATAGAATTTCCAGCCTTGTCGCTGATTATAACCTGAGAAGCTTGGAATGCAAGAATGTCTCTCAGGTCTCAGTGACTGGGAATTATTGATTTTTGCGTAATCTGTTGCATTGTCGTGCAACACATACGCTATGTGTCATCGAAGACCTGCAGTGTTGTGGCAGGGACTTGGGGCTAATGGTGTCGTATTATTTGCCGATCAGGGCTTGAAAATTAACTTTACATTATTGCAACGAAACAATTTTTTGCTACTAATATACTTTCTGCATATTCAGATGCCATTTTCATTTCTATGGTAATAAGGTTCAAGAACTGCTTTCATATAGATTTTGCTTGGTTTAGAGACTTGCTTACTCCAAAATAATGAAAAGTACTTTTATTTTATTCTGATAATGCAAAATAAGAGGATAACCAAAAATGATTTTTTAATATCTATATTAACCGTGAATATGGATCCGTGAAGATCCGGGTTAGAACTGGTCTTCAGCAACCCATGCTTGTCGTAAGAGGCGACTAATATGAAATATTGCTGAGTGCAGCGTTAAAAACAAACAAACAACAGTGAACATGGCACATATGGCAAAATATTTCAGATATCAAATAATCATGATAATCCAATGTCTGTTTTGATAATGTTTTTCCACCTTTCAACCTGAACTTTTCGCAAGAAATAAAATCTGCCAACACTGATTTAAAGCTCTGAAACTACTTTTTAATTTTTGTCTATCTTGAATGTAGAATTGATCCCCCAGTTCCCCATGCATGAGGTGGTCAGGCTGAATTTATCATGCTATTAACCTCTGGTATCCCTGGTTCAGACTTGAATAATGACACACCTGCCGTGATACTGCGGTGTAACACAGAATCCTCTCACTGACATGCTTTCATATCCTGCTAGGGGCGGTCGGATAGCCTAGTGGTTAAAGCATTCGCTCGTCACGCCGAAGACCTGGGTTCGATTCCCGACATGGGTACCATGTGTGAAGCCCATTTCTGGTGTCCCCCCGCCGTGATATTGCTGGAATATTGCTACAAGCAGCGTAAAACCATATTCACTCACTCACTCACTCATACCCTGCTGTACTTACCATACTGTTGTAGCCTTGGAGCATTTACTCACAATGACAAATTATCATTCACATTGGGTATTGACAGCTTTCTTTGGGTATTCAGTATGTTGTCACTCTCCTGGGTCCAGTCTGATGGATATTTTTACACCAGTGTGTGCACATTTAGATAAAAAAAAATTCTGCTTAAAATACTGTTTCCGGTAACTTCAAATTTGAACCTATTCTCGTGGTGCCCCAAGTATGTAACATCACATAAACTCACAACAGCGACATACATGTCGTTTTGACAATAAGCTAGACATGATGCCTGTATCAAAGCCAGGTTTCTACCCATGCCACATTAAGGCCACTTTTCTTGGCTCGACCCTTGCGTCCCCTCGCGTAGATCACGAGTTGTGCCCCTTGTACTGAAAATGGGATATCCAATCAGATCTCTGTTCTTCCGAATTGCGTGGATTGATGCTCATGATATCAATCACTGGATTGTCTGGTCCAGACTCTATTATTTACAGACCGCCGTCATATAGCTGGAATATTGCTGAGTGAGACGTCAAACAACAAGAGTGCAACCAACAACCAATCTTACTTTGTATAGCTTCACAAAGATGACAACTACAATAGGTGACAACCTACTGGTAGTCGATCAGATATATTCGAACATTTGTGATTTCATCCCTGACACAAAAACATGGGCTATCGTTGAGGGGTTGAAAAGATGAAACATATTTGAATCAGCAAAGGCAGCGGTAAATCACTTTCATACAAAGGTGTACCAGTCATGGATGTTGATTTTGTGAAACGTTCTCTGATATGACTATCGATATGTGCGATAGTCCAGTCATAATTAGCACAGGGAAGTGGGCTTGATGTGGCAAGGGGGGAAACAAGGCATTGATAAAAAGGCTAGTGAACACTGATTTTTTTATGCGTGTTTGTACGCAAGCAACTCAAAATTAATGGGGTTATGGTGATTTGTTTTTCATATTTTCATCAAATATGCAGCTTATCTTGAGCTCAGCCTCCTAATCCAATCTTTGAAATCGTCCAGATAATCATGTTTCGATTAACAAATTATGAGAAGTGTCCCTTTAATTATGTCTTGCTTTCCCCAAAACATCATCCGGAATGATGGTTTTCTGGTTTGACAGTCCAGACTAACAAGATTTCAATCAACACATGCTCTCTTTACCAGGTAGAGGGAAGCCCAATTGGAGATGTGGACACAGGTGTTTTAGAAAAGGCCTACTTCATCAGACAGACCATCCGCAATGCCTGTGGAACTATTGCGCTTGTACATGCCCTGGCCAATAACAAGGACAAGATTGAGTTTGATGGTCAGTACTACATGGCAAGCTTCAAACGTACAAGTTTATCTTACAGTACACATGAATGTCAGATTCTGATTGGTTGAGATGCATTGCAGTATTTTCAATGTACCCTCGTAACATGTAAGGTACATTTCATATATTCCTTGCTTTAATTGTTGAACTGTTGGCATTACATTTGCAACATACCAACCACAATTTTATATCTATTAATAATGTAAGAGGCCATTCTCCAGATATTTACGATATTTTCTGAATGAAATAGATCTAGGGGGAACAACTCTAAGTTTGTTTTCTGTTGTGTGTTAAAATGCCTAACTGTGGTATTACCGATTCGGACCAAAACATGCATCAAGTCTTTGAAAGGCATTTAGAAGTGATACATATAATGAAGAGAATTTATAGATGTAAACTTCTTCAAAATTTCGGAGTATATACTTACTCCTTCCATCTGGTGAATGAATGTTATGAGGCAGAGAGCATATATATCTACATGTAAGAACAACAAAAGTAATGAGACATGCATGTATAAGATGTGTGCGGTTAGATAAATTCATTGTCCACTAGTGCCTGTGGGGACTTGTGTTGATGTACCCACAGTGTTAGTTATGTTCCCGGGGGCACGGGTGGCCCAGTCGTCTAAGGCGCCGCAATTCGCTGTGCAGAGTTATGTCCCTTGGGCACGCTAGAAACCTTTGATTGTGGGTTTAAATCCCTGTTCACCCCGATTATGTTTCTAGGTTTGTCAGCTCCATACCCGGCTGCGTCATGCCAAAAGACGTTAAAAGATGGTACTTGTTGTTACCCTGTCTGGCGCTCGGCATTAAGGGACTAGTACAAGCAGCCACACACACAGACACACATGTGCATTCGGGCTTTCCTCCCACATCAAGCTGACACGCCATGATATAACTGGAATACTGTTAAAAGTGGTGTTAAACCCAATTCACTCACTCACTCAGTTATGTTTCCCTCACAGGCACTTAAAGTCAGTGACTCATTTCAGATTATCGTTTATGTATGTAATTATTCATTTTGATGTCTGCGTGTGGAACAAACAAAGTGGACCCAATTTTTATTATCAAGGAATGTGGTCCTCATTTGATATCATCCATAGTGATATGTGTTGAAGTAACGTGTTTGCCTGAGGTTGGGTGACAAATCTGATTGTGTTTTTTTCTAGATAGCAAATATTTCACCAAGTTCCTGGAAAGTACCAAGACCATGAGCCCAGAAGACAGAGCAGGCTTTCTGGAGAAAGATTCTGTAAGTTGAAGTTTACCTCCTGGTGCTACTCCTGGTACAGTCAGTTACCTCCCTTGCCCTAGTAAGATGGTAATATCAGATTTGGAGCAGTATTGGTGCAGACACTAAATGAAGCAGTCATAAAATGTCTTCAGTTGTGCCTGAAGTGGACACAAAACAACACATACGGCTACAGTGTCACCGATGCTACTTCATTTTTCTGTCTGGTGTAAAACAATGCCTGTTAACTCTGTTTCTTTGTGCCTTTCACTCTGTCTGTCTGTCTGTCTGTCTGTCTGTCCGTCCGTCTGTCTCCCTTTCTGTCTGTGTTGTATCTCTTTGTCTCTGTGACACTGTGTGTGTGTCTTTGTGTGTGTCTCTCTCTCATCTCTATCTCTCTTGTCTCTCTGTGTCTCCCTTTCTGTCTGTGTTGTATCTCTTTGTCTCTGTGACACTGTGTGTGTGTCTTTGTGTGTGTCTCTCTCTCATCTCTGTCTCTCTTGTCTCTCTGTGTCTCTCTCTCATCTCTGTCGACTGAGTTACAATTTTTGTCGTTGACAAAAAGGTGAAACATAAAACTTTGCTGCATGTGATAATGGTGTTGAATACACAGGAATTAAGTGTAATTAAGGAATGAACAGATTTGATAGAGTTATGTCCCTTTTCTTACATTATGAACGTCATCCAAGGTTGCTTGTGCTTGGACACAAGCATGGCTGAGGATAATTGCTTATGTTTATATTCCTTTCAGAATATGGGGAACATTCATGAAGAAAGTGCACAGGAAGGCCAAACGCAGGTAAAGAAACTATTATTGTATTGTGAGGGTACGTTTCCGTTCCAGAGCAGAACTCTTGGACCTTTTAATATTTCTTTGAAACTTTGTTTGCGCGTCAGGTATTCACTGAACTGGCTTTGCTAACAGACTTCCTGATCTGACAGTAAACATGGCTGCCATGGCGACCATTTTTAACATGTCAGTTTTCATTACTCTTCCATTTCTGCATATGTTGGACAAGTTGGACTTCAAATTAGGGAAGTGTATGTTTCCATAACTCATTAACGGCACAGTCTTTCTTTGTGAATCCATGTTTGCCCATCAGAACAAAGTGCTGATCTGGCGCCTTTATGTTTTGAATTTCTAAGGCAAAAAACATGATAACAAGACTTTTGTTGTGGAATTATCATTTAGAGATTTGAAAATAGTATATGTAACATTGCTATCACATAAAAACTTATTGAAAAATACCATTACTAGTTCACATCATGGGAAGTTATGGAAGGCATTTAAATAATAGTGGGAATCATTTGGTTTGATCTTATCAATCATAGTTCTGTTGGCACCAGGGATACAGTGGGTCCCCAGCTCCCTGTTGTTATCCATGAGGGGCAACTAAATAGTCCAGCCAAAATATAACTCCATAATCCCAGCCTCGTTCTGCAAGGGTGGAAACTGGATTTTTACAGTCAGTTACCTCCCTTGCCCTAGTAAGATGGTAATATCAGATTTGGAGCAGTATTGGTGCAGACACTAAATGAAGCAGTCATAAAATGTCTTCAGTTGTGCCTGAAGTGGACACAAAACAACACATACGGCTACAGTGTCACCGATGCTACTTCTGTTTTAAGTGCATATGTTTAAATTCTTAACAGTACCAGATTTACCTGCATTGACTTCTGTCACACAAGTATTTGTTCTCGTTAGAAGATGACCAGTGACCAGAGACTATATGAATTGATATTTATGAAGTTAACAGTTATCATTGTCTATTTTTTGTATTAATTTTGCTATTGTATCTATTTTTTTTCAATTAAAGTTTGGATGCACAACTAAAAACTATTTGATGTCATTATTGTGGCTCTCGCTCTGGTCGGACTGATCCGTAAACAAAACTAAGAAAGTGTAATGTGATGTGATGCCTTGCCGTGATACACACTCATGTTTCACAATATTTACCCCATGATACTCCACATTATTGCATAGATTGGAATATCATAGACTACAATTCTCAACTTGTAAATAATCAACCTATATACGCTACAGGTCCAGAAACCTGAGGACAATTATTCAATTGTAGTGTAAAATTTAGAAAGAAAAGGTATCTTTTAAAGTATACTTTGTTCACTGTAATAAGTAAATTGGGTGCTTCGAAAATTTACAAAAGGGGTGCTTGCGTGTGTGGGGGGTGGGGTTGGGTGGGGTGGGATGGGCCAGTGTGTCTCTGCCTGCCTGTCTGTCTGTCTGTCTGTCTGTCAGTCAGTGTGGTCGGTTCAGTATTTTGAAGGATTTTGTTATTTTCATCACTGCCAGAGTCAGTAGGGTACAGTTGAATGATGCAGTGGGGTACAGATGCCAAACATTACAGTTTGGGCGTAATAGTTATGATTTAAAAAAAACCATACATTATTACACCTATCCATCCACAAATTATGAATTTTTTTCATGTACTGATAAAATATCAAGCAGAGCAAATTGAAAATTCAATGACATGAAATCATTTTGTCAATTGTTCTTTGCGGGTGCAGACAGGAACTTCAATATTAATTTGGAACTGAAAACACCACATTGTCTGTCTGAAAAAACAGTTAATTAGTGTCACATGAGGAATTTTACAAGTATGTGGAGTTTTGACACCGTTTCACTTATGTCTTATCCTAATGAAAATGTTAAAGCAAAACCATGCATCATGGTACTGCCAACAAGTCATTTTCACATGAAATTATTCTGTTTTGTATCCCACTGATTTACTCCAAGGCTTCAGTTGGCATCTCTCAGTAATGTGTAATTCTTGTTTCCTCGCTGACCGTGTAAGCCTTGGGGCATCTTCATCTGGTACTAGGGGCGGTCGGGTAGCCTAGTGGTTAAAGCGTTCGCTCGTCACGCCGAAGACCCGGGTTCGATTCCCGACCTGGGTACAATGTGTTAAGCCCATTTCTGGTGTCCCCGTCCGTGATATTGCTGGAATATTGCTAAAAGCGGCATAAAACCATACTCACTCACTCACTCATATGGTACTACAGCTGTTTCTAGCTTGTATGGAAATAGTCCTCTTTGAAACTGACCCCCAGGTTTTTAGCTTGACTTGCAAAAGAGGGGGTCCAAGGGACCCCTAATAATCAATTATCAGGGTCCCTGCAGACAATAAGAGGGTCCTGTAAAGGAATGGAATGGTGTAGTGTACTCTACGAATAGAGTTTACTTTAGAACCTGGAATAAATCAATGATCATGTGGACAGTGGTCATGATTGATGGACCAAATAACACCTATAATTGCACTTGATGTGCTGGAGGTACAATGAATATTATTGTGATTCCCGATATATTCTTTTCTGTGTCATTTCTCTACATTTGTGCTCAATGGACGCACATTTGTGAGTCACGTAAAACCCTGGCCCCACACTGAAGCACCCGCTGCATGTTAGTGTTAGGGTTGGGCATATGATGGTTCGTGGTAAGAGGATAATTCCATTATTAGTTTTTCTGAAATATCAATGTCATGGAAAATATTGCTCGGCTCCCAATCAGTTATTTATTATTTACAGGCTGCTATGGTACAGCTTCAATATGGCTGACTACAACAAAAATCTATCAGAAATTATTTCAATGTGAACTTTCATGTAAAAATTATGAATGCATGGTTTGAACATATGAAACATACCAGTCTAAGGTGCCCTTAGGTTTGCCAGAAACACATGGTCATGGGTTCGAATCCACGATTCTGCCTGATCATGTTTCTAGGTCATTCGTCACCACTCGCCCCTTTCTGTAACATGTAAGATGACTCGTCCCCCTATCGATGAATGTTATGCGAGAAAATATGACGAACCAATCGGAATGTGAGTATGGCTTCAAGTACAAGTGTACACATACAGTACACGTATTCGTGTCCCCGTTAGTTGAACTATCACCCGACCTACATTCCATAATTGGAATAATGTGGGTGTCTGATAACGCGGGGGAGTTGTCCATGGACCCCGAGACCCGCGTTATTGCTGGGGATGACTGTACTTCAGTCAAAGAATACCTCAGGAAATTGTTTTTATTTTTAATGTCTTGCATTTAATAATATACCCAAGATACAGTTAAACTCATATTGTATAATACTATAGGTCCCGATGTGTTTTCAATAGCATCTGGAATATGTGTGATATACGGGGGAATATATATGACTCACTACTCAAAGAGTTCTTTAGCTATGCCCGTTTGCACTTCGATGGAACCCAGTCGGAAAAGATGGCCACGAGAGGGGCATGAACTGATTATCCCGGAATAAAACAAGCTGGTCAGGAATGGTTTCTAGGTTTGTCAGCATTATACCTTGCTGTAAGATTTCACCAAAGTGGTAAGCGTCTAGACCTGCATCACGTTATGCTTTCCTCCTACATGAAGCTGACATGCCGTGATATAACAGTTATATCATGGTATAACTGGAATACTGTACAATAGGGCGTTATATCCAGCTCAGCCACTCGCTGCACTGTACTTTATAGGACTTGTTTGTATTTGTTGTAGGCTCCTTCGAGAGAGGATGAGGTGAACCCCCACTTCGTGGCCTTCATCCATCAGGACGGCGGCCTGTACGAACTTGGTGAGTTTAGTACAACTGAGGTCACATGATCACGTGTGAGTGTGTGCATATATACTACTCCACTGTTGATAGGGTTAGTCAGATATGTCGTTTAGGAGATAAACACAGATTGTTTATCTCCATTCTACCATGACTAAATAAAACGCGAACTCTTTGGTGTTAGCAAATATACTGAGTGAAGCGGCATGGGTTGAGTTCAGTGTTTTGAGTGGGTTATCGATCTGAATTACGGAATCACCGAACAAAATATGGTGCCGTATATACTCAAACAGTTTGTTTACACCGTAATACTTCACTGAAACATATGACAGGCATTGAAAGCATATAAGCACGTCAACTTGGTAAGCTAACATGAGGTGGGCATCCCGAAAGAAAACAAAGCAAGTTTTGCAAGGCTTTCGCTCTACATCGCACGTCACCATTATGACGACATATCGCTCATTGTGACGCAAAAGATATAATGTCACAGTCGTGTAGAAAAGCGACAAAATTCCAAGCTCTCTGTTGTCTCCAAAACGTAAAAACATTCCCTTTGTTGATTTCTATCGTGTTTTTCTGCACAAAATGTATTGCCACACATCCTTTGAATATTGTAGTAACCGCATCTGGGCATTTTGTAACCTTTAATTCTAGATATAGTTATTTAAATATGCCTACCGACAATGACTGAAAATAGTACTATTCTATGAATATTAGCTTCCGCGGTGATGCAGCCGTCAAACCATCTGTTTCAATCAGAGGGGGTTTATTGTGATTTAATAGTCTCTGATTGACCAATCAGAATCGAGTAAATTCCAATTCATGGTAGAATCACTCTTAATACACACGTGACATGTAAAGAGAATCAGTGTTGTGTAACATGGAAAGGCCAAAATATCCCTATCAAAAGTTGAGTAGTGTATATAGTACATGCAGGGGTAAAACAAGTAATGTGTGACCGTAACACATGTTATATTTGCGATTAAACTTTCTAAATGAAGTACAAATTTTTGTTTTTTGGGGGGTTAAGTCCCATGCAGGATTCAAACCCATTCTCAAAGAGAGGCAGCTTATCACCAGCACACAAAGTCAACGATCTAACCCACTCAGCCACCGAGGCTACTAGAAAATAGAAGTCCGCTAACTGGTAGTCCAGATCACATACCGACGTCTATAAAGTGACCCAATGTATAAGGGGAGCACCCTGTAAAAGCCTTCAAAATTGATGCTAAGTTACAAGGCAGAATAGGTCTCCAGTACCCCAAACTCAACATAGTATTCACTCACTCACTCACTCACTCACTCACTCACTCACTCACTCACTCACTCACTCACTCCAGTCTAGGTTTTAGGGTGCCTAGTTAGATTTTATTTGCTTATCTCCAACTGCTCTATTGGTATTCATAGTAAAATCTGAGTTAAAACAGTTACTTGATTCTTTCAGGACGTATGGTGTTTTTGACAATTTTGACAACAGGGTGGGTTGTGGGGGTGGGGTGTCACAAGAACAGTCGCTACACATGGTATCCATGTGGGTAATCAAAGTCTTAAACCAGAAGGCTCCCCAACCACCTGCGTGAATTAGATCAAACTTGCTGCAAGGACTGCCAATAGGACCAATGCCAAAGCTTTCTCTAAAGCAAGGACCTACTCTAAGTAGTGGTACATGGCATTTCCAGTATTCCACGATTAGAAATACTAATGTATGTATGTACACCACAATATGTATGGAAAATACAGGTGTATTGCATGTTTTCCAAATCGTGCATATTTTCATCTTGTTGGCAAGGTTTCCATAAGTGACAAGTTGAACTGAAATTATGACATTCAGAATTGATTCCTGCGATTGAAATAGGGTAACTAATCGCGACCAGCTTCCTGTGTATAGTGTGTCTATTACACAATGTTGTGACCGTAGCAACAGCCAACAAAATGGTGGACGACTTCAAAGGTGTCAAATATGAGGGTTATTTTTATTCAGGGTCAAAAGAAAATAGAGATGATAGAATGCATGCAGTATCTTGTATGCAATACGAAAGTTGGGCCAATACCCAACACTAACTGTAAACCTCAAGAGGATTCATCAAGTGTTCACTTGTTTTTGTCTCCTTGCAGATTTTCACCAGTCTGTTATAAATTTGTATGCATTTGTCAACCTAAATCATTTGCTTCCAAATTAAAATAATCTACGGTAATACTACCTCAAATCTCACAACTAGGTTGTTCTAAATATTCATTCAGTTCATGCAAATATACGCCAGCCAATCCTACTTCTTATCTTTGATTCATAAATTTGAAGGCAAGCTGTGTGTCCATTTCAGGTCAGCTACTATCAGTTCAGTCACAAACACCTATTTTGCCACCTGTCACTGTCCAGGGTTGCATTCCTTGGTCATGCCAGGATCTGCTGTCTAGGGTTCTGATTTAGATCTTTAGTCTGCCAGCACCATTACTAGGCTCATGCATGGGTTTCACCAAAGGGATGACCCGTGAAGATCCGGGGTAGAATAGGTCTTCAGCAACCCATGCGTGCTGTAAAAGATGACTATGCTTGTCATAAGAGGCGACTAACGGGATCAGGTGGTCAGGCTCGCTGACTTGGTTGATGCATGTCATCGTATCCCAATTGCTTGGATCGATGCTCATGATGTCAATCACTGGATTGACTTGATCATTTACAGTCTGCCGTCATATTGCTGAGTGCGGCATTAAACAACAAACAAACAAACAAACAAACAAACCAAAGGGATCAAGGGCTAAGACCTGCCTCACTTCAGGATAAGATCAGGATAAGCAACTTGTTGTAAGAGGGGCCTACATGGTTTTGGTGACTCTGTGATGTACTTGACTGCATGTAATCATATCCCAGGGGTGGTCGGGTAGTCTAGTGGTTAAAGCGTTCGCTCGTCACACCGAAGACCCGGGTTCGGTTCCCGACATGGGTACAATGTGTGAAGCCCATTTCTGGTGTCCCCCGCCGTGATATCGCTGGAATATTGCTTAAAGCAGCGTAAAACCATACTCACTCACTCACTCACTCATATCCCAACGGTGTAGGACGTGGATCATAACATCGTACATTGGTCTGGTCCAGACAGCAATAGAAACTAACAGTTTTAGTCTGCCAGTCCTTATAATGATAACATTTTGCAAAACCTTAAAACTGGCAAATTTCTATTTGTCCTTATGATACCTTAACTATTGGGCAGTTTGGCAAGGACTACTGGACTAGTGCCAATTTCTAATGCTGTCCAGACAACATTAATTACAGGCTTCATAGGTGAAACGGGTAGTCTAGTGGTTAAGTGTGCACTTGTTACGCCGAAGACACAGGTTCAATTCCCCACATGCGTGACGTTCTTAGTCTATGTTAGAGTATGGGAATTACGATCATCGTAGCGCTAAGTCTGCTTTGTGCAAGTGGGCCCAGGAGCAGAATAGACCCTAATAGTCACCCTATGTTCTTGTATGATCCGACTAAGATCAGATGGTTGAACGGGTGACAGGTTGTATCTTTGAGTTAGCCTGGCCCAGAATCCACAAATCAGGCCTTAGATAAACAAAAGTACACTTAAACTCCACTCTTGGTTGATCACAATGTGTTCACCCTGTGAGAGGTTCCGGGTTAGAATAGGCCCCCATAGGAGGAAGTTTAGGTGTTCTGACTAGGTGTCATGGTACCCCGACAGCGTGGCACACATCAGTCACTGGATTGTCTGGTCCAAACTTGATTATTGACAGGTCATCATCATAAAAGTGACATTTTGCTGAGTGCAGCATTAAATCACGCAAGCATGCTCGTACAGACAGACAGACAGACAGTGTTCATAATATCATAATGTATTTGTATAACATTTGTCTTGAAGCTGGGTCTAGTTGGCAGAAAATGGGAACAGATGAACATTTCTCTGTACATGCAATGTGTCTAGACTTATCACTGTTTTAGTCTATCTCAGATGTCCATATTTGGTGACATTTAATCATCAGTGTTGTCGTGTTTTGGGGCCAGGTGGACCATTGTTCATGGGTGTGATATTCATTAACTGTAACAACAGGATTTTCTTTTGCTATGTATCCCAAGGAATTTGTGAATTTAAGATAAATTTATTTCTTGTAAGAAGTTTGTAACTCTGAAATGTAAACTACAAGCCTGTTTAAAACTATGTTCGTATCAACCTTACTTTGTCAGTATAAGAGAAACAGTTTTGTTAGTGTTGCTAACTTCAGTTGTATTTATTGACTTGATCGTGAATGCCGTATTCGACGTAATAAGCGCCCCGCTCTAATAAGCACCCACGGCGATATTTGCTAATTTATTGGCTAGTGAACAATCCCAATTAGCACCCCTACCGATTGATCAATGTACACAAGACCTATATTGTCGTGTATAATACGCACTCGTGTGTAATATGCACCCTCAATTATGGGCAATTAAATTCTGGAAACATATATCTGTCGTATATAAACATTTCAGGCTGTCAGCATAAACCACGAAATTTATCTTTCAACTCTGTTTTTTTCACTAAAATAATATTCTAATAAGAGCCCCCTATTTCTAATTTTGAGAGCGCCCTGGGCGCTAATTACGTCGAATACGGTACTTTGCTTAGTAATTTGATGTCAGTTTGTCAAAAACCCAGGATGCTTAACTAGAATCAGTTATATGTTTTGTTAACTCTAATCTTGAATGTTAAAAAAAAAGAAATTGATATTTTTGTCAACAAAGCCGTGAGAAATCGGTGGACTTAGCAGCAGTGAGATTAGGCCTGGTCACGACTATCTATTCCTGAACAACATACCATGGCCTCACAAGATAAACCAGTGACATTTGCTCATGTAAGTGTCCTGTTGGGATTCCAGGTTAGAATAGGTCCCCCATGCTGGTCACAAGAGGTATCCAGGCATTGGGTGGTCAGGCTCGGGGACTCGGTGGATTGGTCATCTTCCCCGACAGTGGGGATCTTTTGCTGATATCAATCACTGGATTGTCTGTTCCAGACATGGTTGTTTACAAGCCACCATCTTATCGATAGAATACTGCTAAGTGTGGCGTTAAACAACAAATAAACAAACAAACATACAGATAATATAGTGAAAAATTGAAATGTTCAGAGCTCCAGATAAGCTTTTGGTGTTGTGGGTATTTTACCCATGCATTTAAAAATCATTGGGTCTCAGTAATTCTATCTGGGTATTCCAATTTCTGTTATGCACTAGTTTTTACACATGTGGGTATTTAAGTTTAATATTTAAAAACACTATTCATCTAGGCCCTGCAAACTGGTTTCGTGTGGGTTCGAGAGCTTTATAGGACTCAAAAATACCACGATACTTCAACAAGAAAGTGTGATGGCAAATAATCATGATGTAACTGTCATCGTGGACTTTGGCAAGGTTGACGGAATGCCCGTTTATAATTTCAAAATAAGTTGCTGATCTGCTTATCGAATACGCAGGGTTACTTCACAATATTTTGATGATATGCACAAGTTTTATTTTGTAGCGTATCTGTAATGTTCGTTGCGTATTTGATACACTTTGATTTTATTTTACTGCATATTTCTGCATTTCTGATGCGTACTTTACGCAGATATGCAGCTTATCTGGAGCTCTGAATGTTGGCTCTAAGCCTACAATGGTACAATCCATTAATATACAAGCTGCTTTCACCCGGAGAGCAGAAGGTCGGGGATTTAATCCCCGGCCGCATCATAAGAATAGACGTTAAAAGATAGCACTTGATGAATTTTTTTAAACCCAATAGTATAGCAACATCCTGCGTAATTACCCAATGGAACTGTGAAGTACCCGGGGTAGAATAGGTCTTCAGCAACCCATGCTTGCCGTAACAGACGACTTTGGTTGTCGTAAGAGGCGACTAACGGGATCGGGTGGTCAGGATTGCTGACTTGGTTGATGCATGTCATCATATCCCAATTGCGTGGATCGATGCTCCTGATATCAATCACTGGTTTGTCTGGTCCTGTAGTGAAATGGTGAAGTGTACTGTGTTGTAAGATTTAATCATTCCATTTATTAAAGGACCTTTATATTTCTTGCCAAGAATTTTGTACAGTTAATATTACTATATATTTTTTCCTGCATCCATTCTAGACATTCGTGCATACTGGACGCACAATTTTGCATCATGTCAAACCCTGCTCTCAATCACTTTGGTAATCTGAATTCTCAAAAGAGTATTAGCTTGTTCTTTCAAATCCAATTCATTTTTCGACACTAACACTGGTCTGCTGGTCCGAGTCTAGTATATTTGCTTAAGGACCAGTAAAATTAAATAATTGGTGGTACGGTGGTCTAGTGCTATTTTGGGATGAACAAAGTAATTTAAGTTGTATGACTTTTGAAATCAGAGCTAGACCGAAAGTAAACTCTGAGCACCATTGTGTCTAGTGGAGATCCAACAGGACCAGATTTTGTTTGGTTCTGGTCCTGTGGACCATTTTGGTCAGTGTCAAACACTGTTTTAAGATGGGTCCATGTTTTCTTCTTTGTATATTGTATTTTGTAACCATTTCATATGAAATGAAATTTTATGGATTCATATATAATATGATATCGTTGTTTTCAGACGGGCGTAAGGATGGACCAATCAGACACTCTGATTCAACACCAGAGACCCTCCTGCAAGTAAGTAATTATAAGGCATCAGATCAACACCCTAAAGCTTGCTCACAGCGCTACATTATTATCCAGGTCCGTGAATCAGTGTTCACTGCTCCCTGGGGAGTATACAACCCAGGCTGTCTGTAAGGCACTAGAAGGCCACATGACCTTCTCTTCCTATTGGGTACCCATATCACTGCTGGGTAAACAGAGTGCATTGAAGTGAGAATTAACAGGGTGATATAATTTTATCTGTAAAAATGAAATCTATATTTTCTCCTGACTGAGTATGGCTAGTTACACGTGGCCTTTTGCTTGATTGTTTACTCCTGGTCTGTAGTCGAGGGGGGGGGATGGAGGGGGAATAAAACAAAACTTGTATTTCAAATTTTTGTTTAGTTTTAGAACAATTCTTGTCATTTAAGCCTTCGAATGTTTATTGTCTGGCAGTTTTACTTATTGCTGTACAAAAATAGCACTTTCAGGGTTATATTCCACCCAGTTTTAATTTTTTTAGGGTCAGTGGGTCTGTAACCAAATCTGAGATGATATCACCTTAATTGACCTGCTGTTATTACCATGTTAATTCACTGAGGAAAGCTACACTTGTCAGGGCAAGTTATAGATTAAGGTTTGTGTGGGTAAACAGAATGCGTATTTTACAGCTATTTCCATTGGGACAATATATTAACTGCACGGCATGCCAGTCAGTAGGAGTGTCACCTGTTTGATGTTGTTGTTGTTGTTGCTGCACTCAGCAATATTGCAGCTATATAACGGTGGTCTGAAAATTATCAAGTCTGGACCAGACAAACCAGTGAAAGATATCATGAGCATCGATCCACGCAATTAGGATAGGATGACATGCATGAACCAAGTCAGCAATCCTGACCACCCGATCCTCTTACATAGTCGCCTCTTACGACAAGCATAGTCGCTTTTACAGCAAGCATGGGTTGTTGAAAACTTATTCTACCCCGGATCTTCATGAGTCATCACATGTTTGAACACACCCCAGCTGTTTGAACACACAGCTGATCATAGGTCAACACCCTTCTTACATGCAGCTCGGGACCGCCTCCGTGGTCTAGTGGTAGAGCGTCCGCCCGGAGAGCGGAAGGTCCAGGGTTCGATCCCGGGCCGCGTCATACAAAAAGACGTTAAAAGATTGTACTTGTTGTTACCCTGTCTGGCGCTCGGCATTAAGGGGCTAAAACAAGGACTGGTCGGCTCGGAGTCAGTATACTGTGTCTGAGTGGGGTATTCATGTTAAACTGCGGCACAGTATCTCAGTGAGCTAGCACTATAAATCGGCATCAGTCCGGACTAGTACAAGCAGCCACACACACACATACACGTGCATGCACGTCGCTATATAAGTGCAATAATCTTGGACGCGACGTTAAACCCCATTTCACCTCACCTCACATGCAGCTTGCTCTCCTGTTCATGTTGTGTTGATTTCTTTCATTTTCCAGAGCATTGATAAGATTTTATCTTACCTCATTGTCACTGATCTGATTGGTTCATGTGATCTTGACAAAATACTTCATATCCCGCCTGGGAGGGAAATAAATGTCTGAGCAGGAGAATAAATCCCTGATACCCCGCCAGGAAGAAAAGAGGCTGCAAATGAATTTCTGAAAGGGGCCCCGCAATGAAGCAACAAGCAGCACGTTGTTCATGAGTCGTGAAAGTCACATGACATTGGCACCAGTTCACCTCAGCTCAATCGAACAGCTGTTTTCTATCAATTTCCCATTTGTTTTAATTCTTTTACAATAGTAGAGGCAAGATTAATTTGTTGTATCACCCCCAGCTCATGGTATAAAACCTAACGTGGGACACATAAAACCACATATATCCCTTGTGGTACTGTTAAAACTTATTTAGATGAGGATATCACCGACAATGTCGTGTTGCTTAGGGAACAGTTCAAAAGTTAAATGTAGGATCAAAAATTTAATTCCTCAAGTTTTGAGACATATTCAATAATTCTAAAAATGTTGGGGGGCACGGGTGGCTCAGTCGTCTAAGGCGCCGCGATTCGCTGTGCAGAGTTGGGTCCCTTGGGCACGCCAGAAACCTATGATTGTGAGTTCGAATCCCAGTTCGCCCCAATTATGTTTCTAGGTTTGTCAGCACCATACCCGTGCTTGTCGGTTTCACCGAAGTGGTAAACGTCTGAGACCTGCATCACTTCGGGCTTTCCTTCCACATTAAGCTGACACGCCACGATATAATTTGAATACTGTTAAAAGGGGCGTTAAAACCAACTCACTCACTCACTCACTCTAAAAATGTTGAATTCCTTGTAATACTGGGACATGCCACTAGAGTTGGTGATGCAAAACCCAACCTAATGACAGCTCCTAACAGCGTATGCCTGGCAAATCCTATTGCTTTACATTGACAGTGGTGCTAAGAGCTTGTGGGCTGTATTAACTGGTTTTTTCTCTCAACTCGCCCTGACAGACAATGATTTTGTATAAAAAATAAGAAATTGTTTTTTCTGAGTTTAGTTACATGTATATAAAACACTGATGAATCAGGTTAATTTGAAGGAATTAAGATTTGACACCAAAGTTTTGACCAGGTCCCTACTGTGGTGATAATCTTGAGGCATTGCAACACGTCTGACAAAGAGTTATCTCCCTTACACCACTGATATAAAATACGTTCAATAGATCCCACTCACCTCTTCTTGTGACAGTCACTTGGAGTTATCATTGCTCATGCTATCAACCAACGTTTTGTCTGCTCCAAGCCAGTTGGGGATTCCGGGTTAGAATGGTCCCCAGCAACCTATGCTGGTCCAGGCCAGTTGGGGAATCCGGGTTAGAATGGTCCCCAGCAACCTATGCTGGTCCAGGCCAGTTGGGGAATCCGGGTTAGAATGGTCCCCAGCAACCTATGCTGGTCCAGGCCAGTTGGGGATTCCGGGTTAGAATGGTCCCCAGCAACCTATGCTGGTCCAGGCCAGTTGGGGATTCCGGGTTAGAATGGTCCCCAGCAACCTATGCTGGTCCAGGCCAGTTGGGGATTCCGGGTTAGAATGGTCCCCAGCAACCTATGCTGGTCCAGGCCAGTTGGGGATTCCGGGTTAGAATGGTCCCCAGCAACCTATGCTGGTCCAGGCCAGTTGGGGATTCCGGGTTAGAATGGTCCCCAGCAACCTATGCTGGTTGTAAGTGGTGAGTTTGTTGATTGCTTGCCATCATACTCCAACTGTATGGGACATTTTATAATATCAGTCACTGGACGCAATTGTTTACAGGCCGCAATCATATTTATGGAAAATTGCTGAGTGTTTGGAGTTAACAAGGATATGTCTGGACCTGTCCAAAGTGTGAAGCAAATGTCAGTAAAAATTCCCAAAGTGGAATTAAAGATTTCACAAGTGGCACTATTATAGTAGTACAGTAAACTACGGTTATAACGAGCTCAAACTGGCCACTAATTTTAGTTTGTTATAACCGTAGTTCGTTATAAGCATATATACAGCAGTGGCCGGGACAAAAAAATAAGGTCATTATATCCGTCGGTTTGTTATAAGCGTAGTTTACTGTAATATATCTTATTGCCTTATAGAGGTGACTTGCCTTTTACTGATTTTAGGACTAATAAACAAGAAGAGGCTTTAATGTTTAGTTTTACAATTTGGCATTGAATGAAATATTTAAATGCTCCTGATTTTAAGATAATATGGACTTGTCAGGACTTTATTGAACAAAATTACAATTGTTACCCAATTTTCACTTATCTTGAAATCCTAGATAAATCCCAGGTTAAATAAGACAGAAAGAAACAAATAAATGTCTGGTTTGGACCATCTCCCTGAGGCAAAGGAGTTAACTAACTCTAAAAGTCCAGTTACCACCCTTACTGAAATATCGTTGCTATTAGGAGTTATGTCCCTCCTATTGACATGATTGACCAATCAGATACCACTCTCGTATCTCTTGCATTTACATCAAACCAAATGGTCGTGCCGAGTCAAGATGTTCTGATCAAGTTAATCTGTAAAAAACCTGAGCATGTTGATTAAAAACATGGAAGGATTTGGAAAATATCTGTCGATGCCCAGTTGTCAGTACACATGCTTTCAAACCAAAGTAGACCGAAATCTGAACAAACAGGATGTTGATTTTGTTTTTCGATTTTGGGGGGGAGGGGGGTGGGGGGGTGGGGATGCTGGAACAATGCATAGACTCATTAGTCCAGCCAAAATAAAACTCAGAAATTCCAGCCTAGGTAAGGGTGGAAACTGGACTTTTATTATGAGTTAACTCCCTTGCCTCAGGTAGAGGTGAGGTGAGGTGAAATGGGGTTTAACATCACGTCCAAGATTTTTGCACTTATATAGCAACGTGATAGTGTGTTCGTGCGAGTGTCCGCGCACGCTCGCTTGTTCTAGTGCGCACTTATGCAGATTTTGTAGTGCTCGCCCACTGAGATACCAGGTCGCTGTTAACATGAATACCCCATCCAGTATACTAACTCCAAGCCGACCAGTCGTTGTTTTAACCCCATAATACCGAGCACCAGACAGGGAAACAACAAGTACCATCTTTTAACGTCTTGGTATGACACGGCCATGGATTGAACCCCAGATATTCCGCTCTCCGGGCGTACGCTCAACCACTAGACCACGGAGGCAGTCGCCTTGGGAAGATGGGTCTAGACTAGTAGTGTGGCTTTATTCCGTTGCCTGGCATTTACAGCATTCAGTCTCTCATTTCCCACAGGGAAAGTATGTAATAAAGGTTTACCAAAAATTAGTAGAAGTACCAGACCAGACAGCTTTGCATACGCAGCAGACAGCAATTTCCAGTTTGGCCTCTGTCATTCCTTTTAGAGGTGTCAGAGCATGTCTGCTGAAAATGTCAATAGAGTCAGGTCTGATGAAAAACTGTTCCAACGTGAAACTTGCAAATACACATTTATGCTGTCCGAAATGTTTCACGGACAGTGGATATGTATGGCTCGTTTTTTCACCTGAAATAACCATGCGTGACAATGCGTGACAATGCCAATCATGCCGTCTTTCTTACAGTCTAGGGGGGGCACGTGTGGTCAAGTCGTCTAAAGCGCTGTAATTCGCTGTGCAAAGTTGCGTCTCTTAGGCATGCCGGAAACCTATGACTGTGGGTTTGAATCCCAGTTCGCCCCGATTATGTTTCTAGGTTTGTCAGCACCATACCCGTGCTCATGGGTTTCACCAAAGTGGTAAACGTCTGAGACCTGCATCACTTCAGGCTTTCCTCCCACATTAAGCTGACACGCCGTGATATAACTGTAATACTGTTAAAAGCGGCGTTAAACCCAACTCACTCTTGCAGCCTAGCCAGTGAAGATGCCATCTCAAAAAGATCTTGTTTCAAGGACTGTGGGAGTTTAGTTTATCCTAAAGATAGCTTTCTGTGTTTCATGGTTATTAAAGACCATACACACGAATGCAAAACCTTAAGTGGTCTTGGGGTTCGGCGCTCGTGGACATCAGCAGCAACTACCAGTTCAGCAGTATGAACAATAATGTCAAACAGCATGTGTTGCTTTTCGGTGTTCTTCAGAATAGTTTTGCAAAGAATTTGGTTTCTCAATTTGCAGGGGAGGTCGGGTGGTCTAGTGGTTAACACGTTAAAAGAAATTAATAAACATGTCTTCTTCAGTTTGAATTGTACTCATGAAATGTTGGAACTTGTCATTGGAATTTTTATCAATTCATATGATCACTTACAAAGTTTAATAGGGCGGCTGGGTAGCCTTGTGGTTAAAGTGTTCACCCTTCACGCCAAAGACCCATGTTCGATTCCCGACATGGTTTCAATGTGTGAAGCCCATTTCTGGTGTCCCCCTCCATGATATTGCTGGAATATTGCTACAAGTCGTGTAAAACCATACTCACTCACTCACTACAAAGTTTAATGTGAAAGAAGTGGTCCATACAGAGAATGATAATCAAATCACTCTCTAATTTTGCAGTTTTGTGATTTGTTTTCCTTCAGTAATTGTACCCTTAGTTGTCTTCCTAGGTGTCACAATTCACTTGGCAGAGTTGCATCCCTTAGGTGTGACAGAATCCTATGATCCTCACTAATCACAAATTCCGCCGGATGAGAATATTTGTTTATCAACACCAAACCCCTTACCATGGGTTTCACCAGAGTGGTAAACATCTAAGACCTACATCACTTTCCTCTTTCCTCATGACACACCATGACATACTAATCAGAGCAGCATTAAACCTAACTCACTCACTCACTCACTCACTCACTCACTTCCTCAGGTACACTGCACACCTGTTTACCGGCAGTCTTTCCTGTGTTAATATGAGACAGTGTGTACGCTGTTGGCCTCATGTGGGGTCCTGCAACTAACAAACAACAATATCTCCGAGGAGAGCCAGCTACATTGCTCAGCACACCCCGACTAAGTTTTGTACTTGCCTGCACCTATTTACTTTTGAACTCTGCATATGTGTATGCAGAATGTACACAGGAAAGGTCAAGCCATTCAACGTTGTTGCTATTTAAGAATTTTCACTGAGGAAGTGACAAGCAATATTAGTGAATGCTTTTTCTGTCTTCTGTGTAGGAATCCTTGGCTCTTGTTGTGCTGTATTGTGTTGCATTGTGTTGCATTGTGTTGCATTGTGTCATGTGATAGTAAGGGACATGCATGATGTCGTGAACTGGCAAGGTTATGTTATTGTACACGCTATGTTATTGTACATAACTTGTAGTTCTTCATAATTCATGTGGGCGCAATGGGGTAGCTGAGTGGTTAAAGTGTTCGCTCGTCACGCTGAAGACCTGGGTTGATTTCCCCACATGGGTACAATGTGTGAAGCCCATTTCTGGTGTCTCCCGCAGTGATATTGCTGGAATGTTGCTAAAAGCGGCGTAAAACCACATTCACTCACTCACTCAATTGCATGGATTGTTGCTCATGATGTCAATCACTGGATTGTCTGGTCCAGACTCGATTATTTACAGACTACCGTCATATAGCTGGAATATGAATGCGGCATTAAACAACAAACAAACAAACTAATAGAGGACTGTCGGTTTATGCATATTTGGTTTTTGATAATATTTCATTTCACATTAGTCGTTGCTTCAATTTGATGGGTGTTTGGGGTGCTGTGTAAGGGTAGCTGATTCTGAATTTGAATCCCAGATTTGTCCCGATAATAAACCATGGTTTGTCAGCACCTTTCTTGTGCTGAAGTGGAAAACATGAAGTCATACAAAAAGACCTTAAAAGATGGTATTAAGGGGCTAAAACAAAGAACTGGTCGCCTCGGAGTTGGTATACAGTATGAGTTTGTTATTCATGTTGAACTGTGGCATGGTATCTCAGAGGGACAGCACTATAAAACCAGCCTAGTGCAAGCACACGCACACGCACGCTTGCACCATATGAATGCAATTATCTTGCCACGTTTCACCTCAGCATTACTTGCTGTGATCTAAGAAAAAAACTATTCAAAGAATCGTTAATTTTTACTTTGACAAGTAACGGTGAAATGTGATCAGGTGTCTCAGTCCTGACTTTCCCAGCTGACCTCCATTGAAGGCTCCTGAAAGTCATATGGAGCATGGGAGCCACCAGCTGTCTCCATTCATAGTCCTGCGTCAACAAGCACGACATTTGTCGCATATATGTAATCTTGATTAGTCCTCAATCTTCAAGTAATTCCTAGCCTAGTTGCCAAGTGTTTTTGATTTATTGTGTGAGACAATACATTTTTTTTCTATTAGTTTACCTATCCACTGACCTTAAAAACAAGAAGTGATGTTGTGGAAGAATAATTTGAAAAGTATAGTTACCTGTTTGCCACAAGAGTGTGTACTTGTGATTTGGCCCATGAGGATTCTTGGATGGAATTTGTCCCCAGCAAAATATGCTGGTAGTAAGTGGTAATGAAATGGATCAGGTGTTCACTGTTCAAGGGGGCGGTGGGGTAGCCTTGTGGTTAAAACGCCCAATTGTCCTGCCGAAGTCCCTGGTTCAGCTCCAAACATGGATAAAATGTGTTAAGCCCTTTACTGGTTTCACACCCCACTGCCCGCAAAATGAGTTTTTTTACCCACTATGTTTCAAATAGAATATTGCCAAGCGACCATCTTTAAGGTCCTGTGAAGCAAAAATAATAATTATGTGGACATTTTAAATTTCTCTGTTTGTTAACCTAATCCTTATTGCCTAGGGGGCGGTCGGGTAGCCTAGTGGTTAAAGCGTTCGCTCGTCACGCCGAAGCCCCGGGTTCGATTCCCAACATGGGTACAATGTGTGAAGCCCATTTCTGGTGTCCCCCTCCGTGATATTGCTGGAATATTGCTAAAAGCGGCGTAAAACCATACTCACTCACTCACTTATTGCCTAGACTGATGTTCATGATGTCAATTACTGGATTGTCTGGTCCAGACTTGACTATCCACGCCTTGCCATCATAGAGCTGCCATAATGTTGAGTGCAGCGTTGAACAACAAACACGGAATCAAATGTTTCAGCAGGTAATTGAAACTGATTATTCTCTGGCCTTGACGTTTTATATACTTTAAATGTTGCAGGACACAGCCAAGGTCCTGCGGAAGTTCATGGACCGGGATCCAGAAAACATCAACTTTGCAATCACTGCCTTGGTCCAGAATTAGGACCCGTCTACCAGGTCAAGCAAAAATGCACCACCACATTTTCTGTGGCTTATTGCAACAATCCTGCTGATTGGCTAATATCTCTCTACTCTCAAAGCAGTGTGGTTGCTTTTGTTATATGCATAGCCAGGTCAGCAGGTGGTTCACCAAGGAAATATTTACAAAACAGTTGACGTAATGACTTTTTCCAAAAAACAAATATTTTCTTAGCAAGAACATCAACCTGTGCCTTTTGAGTACAGGAAAAAATCATTGAAAGAAAAAATTAATAAAATAGATAACTGAATTTGAGGTGACATTTGCTACTTCATGTAAAACCATTTCCGTCACCAGTACACTATCAGTATGCATGTGGACCATGTTCTGGAGGCTCACTTCAGGAAGAGGTTTGCCTTATGTCTGTATGTGATATGCCCCGTATTTACTGGTCATTAAGCTTGTATCCTGTGAATGAATATGCTTGTTGTTGTATGCTAGTTTGATGTTCATGGTGAAAATTACAACTAAATGGTTGTGTGTCAGTTTGAACCAGAATTGGTAGAGTGAGTTTGGTGAATGTTTAATCAACCGATACCGATTTCAAAAGTTGTAAGGAATGTGTGTTTAAAGCCATGTTGTATTATTGTACTATGGTGCATAATTAGCTTAATGTTACAATTATAATGATGATCTGTTTCAAGTATTAATGGTTTGATCATTTCAGGCAAGTCATTGTTCATTGGTGTTTATTGAGAATTACCGTTTCTTGTTATCCACTTCCATGTTGAAATAGGCAAAGGAATTCCAAGTCCCTTCATTATAAGTTATTGTTTGTTGTGAGAAAAAGGTTTGAAAGAGAGAATACTCTGGTAGGTTTGTTTTTATTTATTTGGACAGCCTTGATCGATTAATTCAACTTAGTGCTTTGGCTGAAAATTATTTCAAGTTATCTGGTTCAGATGTCTTCTTTGATTATTTTCTTCAGCTGCGAAGAAAAAGTTGTCTTGTCCATCTTATAATGAAAGTGTCTACTCCATAGTCCCTCCGGTGACAGTATATTCCCACAGTGCCATTGACAAGTGAGTCACGAGGTCTGTAGGATGGTGAGATGTACCATATGTGACATTCAATTGACTCCTTTTGTCTTGATTTTTAGAAAGCTATTTCGTTCACTTTCATGAATTAGATCCTAGTCAATTACCAATTTTCTTTGTGTTTTTATTCAGCGTTCAGTTCGAAAAAGTCGATGTCATTTTGGGTAATGAAACACCGTCCTGAAACCCATCGTGCCATAGATAAATAATAACTTTTGAAAACTACAGGTTAATCAATTATTTGTGTTGATTTGGACCAATATTCTTTTTTTTTTATTGTTGTTTTATGCTTTTGAAAATTATACAGGATGCTATATAATATGTTCATTGATTTCTGGGTGGGGATTATTTCTCTATATGTAGGTGACTTGATGGACAAAGCCAGAAAATTAACCAAGATTTTTGTCTCCAATTGGGATAAGGATCTTACACCATGGGAAATGTCTTCAAAATTTAAACTGAAAAAACAATTGACCCAGTAATAAATAATTCCATAATTTGACAATGTTTGATATTTGAAGTGTTTAACACTAGTGCGTCCTGCAGAATCTTTTGTTAAGTTTTGTTTGAATGGGGTCACAGATACCAAGGTTGATGATCCAAGACGGTTTCAGCGTGAAACCTTTGACATGTTTCAACTCAACATTGATCAAATGGGTTCTTTCCATGCTTCATGTTATGTAAGCAGAAAGACTTCAAAACAAATGGTCACATTGTGTAATTTGAAATCATGGCGTATGTCCCGATATCTAAGATTGTGGGAGTCAGCTGTCAGCATATTTCCCCATTTCATGTAAGCTTCCAGTCGTTGTTTGATCACGTAACAGCAGTGCTATCAGACGAAGATAATTTTTTGGAATGGCCTAAAATATTATTTGCCTGTATATTTTTGTACACGGGCATGTTTTCTGATGTATGCATGGGTTTATTGGATGATATTTTTTCAGTACACACCTGCAGGTCTCCGTGGCAACGCTATGTCCTACACGTGCCAATGTTCATGTTGCAGACTGTAATAAATATTGCTACAAGCAGTCCCGTGTCATGTTTCTGTTTGATCCACTAGGGCACCATGAGTATGGCCGAGTGGCACAATCAAGTATCTTTTGATTGTGCCAGTGAGGATTCTGGACTAAATTAGGTCCCCAGCAACCTATGCTTGTACCAGGCGACTTAATAGATTGGCTGGTCAAGTCCCCGTTCCACACAGTGATCTTAGCACTTAATGGATGGTATGGTCAAGGCCTCATTCCACACAGAGATCTTAGCACTTAATGGATGGGATGGTCAAGTCCCCGTTCCACACTGTGATCTTAGCACTTAATGGAGGGGATGGTCAAGGCCCCGTTCCACACAGTGATCTTAGCACTTAATGGATGGGATGGTCAAGGCCCCGTTCCACACAGTGATCTTAGCACTTAATAGATGGGATGGTCAAGTCCCCGTTCCACGCAGTGATCTTAGCACTTAATGGATGGGATGGTCAAGTCCCCGTTTCACACGGTGATCTTAGCACTTAATAGATGGGATGGTCAAGGCCCTTTTCCACACAGTGATCTTAGCACTTAATGGATGGGATGGTCAAGTCCCCTTTCCACGCAGTGATCTTAGCACTTAATAGATGGGATGGTCAAGTCCCCGTTCCACACAGTGATCTTAGCACTTAATGGATGGGATGGTCAAGTCCCCGTTCCACGTAGTGATCTTAGCACTTAATGGATGGGATGGTCAAGGCCCCGTTCCACACGGTGATCTTAGCACTTAATAGATTGGATGGATAAGGACCGTTTCACACGGTGATCTTAGCACTTAATGGATGGGATGGTCAAGTCCCCGTTCCACACAGTGATCTTAGCACTTAATAGATGGGATGGTCAAGGCCCCTTTCCACACAGTGATCTTAGCACTTAATGGATGGGATGGTCAAGTCCCCTTTCCACGCAGTGATCTTAGCACTTAATAGATGGGATGGTCAAGTCCCCGTTCCACACAGTGATCTTAGCACTTAATGGATGGGATGGTCAAGTCCCCGTTCCACGTAGTGATCTTAGCACTTAATGGATGGGATGGTCAAGGCCCCGTTCCACACGGTGATCTTAGCACTTAATAGATTGGATGGATAAGGACCGTTTCACACGGTGATCTTAGCACTTAATAGATGGGATGGTCAAGTCCCCGTTCCACACAGTGATCTTAGCACTTAATAGATGGGATGGTCAAGTCCCCGTTCCACACAGTGATCTTAGCACTTAATGGATGGGATGGTCAAGTCCCCGTTCCACGCAGTGATCTTAGCACTTAATAGATGGGATGGTCAAGTCCCCGTTCCACACAGTGATCTTAGCACTTAATAGATTGGATGGTCGAGGCCCCGTTCCACGCAGTGATCTTTGCACTTAATAGATGGGATGGTCGAGGCACCGTTCCACACAGTGATCTTAGCACTTAATGGATGGGATGGTCAAGTCCCCGTTCCACGCAGTGATCTTAGCACTTAATGGATGGGATGGTCAAGTCCCCTTTCCACGCAGTGATCTTAGCACTTAATAGATGGGATGGTCAAGTCCCCGTTCCACACAGTGATCTTAGCACTTAATAGATGGGATGGTCAAGTCCCCTTTCCACGCAGTGATCTTAGCACTTAATAGATGGGATGGTCAAGTCCCCGTTCCACACAGTGATCTTAGCACTTAATGGATGGGATGGTCAAGTCCCCGTTCCACACAGTGATCTTAGCACTTAATAGAAGGGATGGTCAAGGCCCCGTTCCACGCAGTGATCTTAGCACTTAATAGATGGGATGGTCAAGGCCCCGTTCCACTCAGTGATCTTAGCACTTAATAGATGGGATGGTCAAGTCCCCTTTCCACGCAGTGATCTTAGCACTTAATAGATGGGATGGTCAAGTCCCCGTTTCACACAGTGATCTTAGCACTTAATGGAGGGGATGGTCGAGGCCCCGTTCCACACAGTGATCTTAGCACTTAATGGATGGGATGGTCAAGACCCCGTTCCACGCAGTGATCTTAGCACTTAATGGATGGGATGGTCGAGGCCCCGTTCCACACAGTGATCTTAGCACTTAATGGATGGGATGGTCAAGTCCCCTTTCCACGCAGTGATCTTAGCACTTAATAGATGGGATGGTCAAGTCCCCGTTCCACACAGTGATCTTAGCACTTAATAGATGGGATGGTCAAGTCCCCTTTCCACGCAGTGATCTTAGCACTTAATAGATGGGATGGTCAAGTCCCCGTTCCACACAGTGATCTTAGCACTTAATGGATGGGATGGTCAAGTCCCCGTTCCACACAGTGATCTTAGCACTTAATAGAAGGGATGGTCAAGGCCCCGTTCCACGCAGTGATCTTAGCACTTAATAGATGGGATGGTCAAGGCCCCGTTCCACTCAGTGATCTTAGCACTTAATAGATGGGATGGTCAAGTCCCCTTTCCACGCAGTGATCTTAGCACTTAATAGATGGGATGGTCAAGTCCCCGTTCCACACAGTGATCTTAGCACTTAATGGATGGGATGGTCAAGTCCCCGTTCCACACAGTGATCTTAGCACTTAATAGATGGGATGGTCAAGGCCCCGTTCCACGCAGTGATCTTAGCACTTAATAGATGGGATGGTCAAGGCCCCGTTCCACGCAGTGATCTTAGCACATAATAGATGGGATGGTCAAGGCCCCGTTTCACACGGTGATTTTAGCACTTAATGGAGGGGATGGTCGAGGCCCCGTTCCACACAGTGATCTTAGCACTTAATGGATGGGATGGTCAAGACCCCGTTCCACACAGCGATCTTAGCACTTAATGGATGGGATTGTCAAGGCACCGTTCCACATAGTGATCTTATTGCTAGGACTGTCCTAAGTCTGTTAAGTCATGGAAGTTACAATCATCTTGGCACTAAGGCCCAGGCTGGTTGATGTGTCATCGTATGGACTACAGGGATCATTGCCCAAAATATCAATCACTGGTTTGTCTGGTCCAAACTTGTTTACTTGCTACTGTGGTATAGCTAGAATATTGCCAAGTGCTTCCTTAAACAACAAACACAAGTCAATAAATTCATATGGGACACCAAAGAGGTTATCCAGTGCACTGACAAGGTAAGCCCTGCAACATATAAATACAGGGTACAGGTGGCCCAGTGGTCTACTGCGTCATACTTTACTGTACAGAATCTGCTGACATGTCTGAATGCTAGATTCCCGATTGTGATTCTTGCTTTGTCAGCACAATACAGGCACCAAAATATTATTGAACATTTTAGTAAGTGAAATGCTTGAGGGATGTTGGAATATTACGAACCGCATCTAAACCAAGAATCAGGATGGATGCTAATCTGGGATTCAAACCCATGATGAGCCGCACAGCACTACAAAGACCACAGGGCCCGTGAAGGTCCGGGGTAGAATAGGTCTTCAGCAACCCAAGCTTGCCGTAAAAGGCAACTATGCTTGTCGTAAGAGGCGACTAACGGGATCGGGTGGTCAGGCTTGCTGACTTGGTTGATGCATGTCATCATATCCAAATTGCGTGGATCGATGCTCATGATGTCAATCACTGGATTGGATGGTCAAGACTCGATTATTTACAGACCGCCGTCATATAGCTGGAATACTGCTGAGTGCAGCGTTAAACAACAAACCAGCCAACCAGCCTAGGCATATATAGAGAAACTTTGACAGTTTGACACCATTCTCGTTTCGACATGTATGTGGTATTAGATATACCAATCAAGATGACCAAGTAGCCCAATTTCATAAATTAATATGATTAAGAAATAAATGGTCCGCTCCTTGTATAGGTAACTTAAACTGAAGCTGCGCATGCTTCAGTTCAATGGCAAATTCAAATACTATTCGTATGACAACATATCCAAGCAATAATGCAGTCACATTCAGACTTCACTTGGATACTCCCTATCCCTATCAAAAGTTTAGTTGTATAAGTATTTCTAAGGTTTCGATGTCTGTCTTTTCTTATCAAATAACATGTTGATCTCATGGAGTGACCTACAAAGTAGGGGGCACGGGTGGCCCAGGTGTCTAAGGCCCCGCAATTCGCTGTGCAGAGTTGCGTCCCTTAGGCACGCCAGAAACCTATGATTGTGGGTTCGAATCCCGGTTCACCTCGATTATGTTTCTAGGTTTGTCAGCACCATACCCGTGCTCGTGGGTTTCACCGAAGTGGTAAACGTCTGAGACCTGCATCACTTCGGGCTTTCCTCCCACATTAAGCTGACAGGCCGTGATGTAACTGGAATACTGTTAAAAGCGGCGTTAAACCAAACTCACTCACTCACTCACTCACTCACCTACAAAGTTGTACTTCTCCACGAAAATATCCGCTTGAAGATGGCATAAACTCGTATTGTGTTTTGCCAAAATAGGAGTACAGAGTTTTTTTTCACTCTATGTGCCGATCTTTGCATATAATACATGTGGTAAGAACTACAATTTAATATCATTGCATTATGTAGTAGTTTTAAAAGAAAGGTTTTTAAAAGTCTCTGACACTAAGATTCTGTTTCATTCTTATTACTGCAATCCAATAAAACAGGATGTCTTTGAACAATGAATTAAGGCAAAATAACACAGATGTTGATGAACACAGTGAATTAAGACACAATTACACACTTTTTTGAACATAGTGAATTAAGACATTAACGTTGGGGTGTTTATGAACTTAACGTAATCCGGCAGGGTCCCACGCGTAAGACCAATATCAATCACCATTGTTACGACATTTCGCACTACCGGAAGTGACGTGTCAGCTCTGATTAGCAAGGCAGTCTCGCTAACATGAAGACATGTTGTCTGTTGGCATCTTTTAAGGCTGAGTCCAACAGTGTCATATTTGTGAAGTGATTCCTATTGTTTAAAACAACCCCAGTGGACTTTCCTCTGAGAGTCACGTGAACCTGTTGTTTTCCAGGGCGGAATGTCACGCCAGGTCCATTGTCTCATTTTTACTTCCATGATAAACAATAAAGATAATCCGCTTGTGTTTTCGGACATA